AGCGGTTCTCAACCTGGGCGTCGAACGACCCTCTCACAGGGGTCGCCCAAGACCGTATTTCCCACGGTCTTGGGAACCCAGACGCCGCTCCTGCATCGTCTCCGGGCGGATCCGCCCACCTGCGGGTTGATCACAACATGAGGAACTGTACCGAAGCATTAGGAAGGTTGAGAGCTCCGAGAGGGACAGGGCAAAGGCCAGCAACAAGGACATTCAGAAGCAACAGAAACCTGCGCTGGCAGGTCGTGGGCAGGGGTCCGTGGGCTTTAACAAAGGACCCACCCCTGCCTTGGCCAGCTGACAAGAGGCTGAGGGCCACGTGATGTAGGGCAGCCATGGTGGAAGAGTTACCGGCAGGGACAAGGCAGTGCAGTAGCCTGTGGCCAAGATGAGGAAGGGAGGCGCCCCCCCCCCCCAACCCATTAAACCGCTGAACCGAAAAGGGGAGGCTGAGCCTGCGTGCGTGCTTGGGGTGTTTGTGTGGGAAAACAGAATTAAAAATCTGTGGGATTTCCCCAGGAGCCTCTCGAGAGCAGCCCCTGGTGTTGCAGAAACCCGTTCCTGGCCTGAAGGGCTCCTGAGAGCTGAGCTGAGTGAGAAGCAGTTAGGCAAACTCTGGCCTGTGGGCCAAATCTGGCATGCTTCCTGTTTTTGAGGTGCCCACAAACTAAGAATGGTTCTTGCATTTCTGACCCGGGGGTGAGACTCACAAGAAGCCTGTTTCATGACTAATAGGCAGTGTAGGAAATTGAGATTTAGGCTCTCTACAAATAAAGTGACTTGACCGGAGCACTGCGTTGCACATTCCTGGTCCTGGTGTCCACCACGAGGCTGCCCGCAAGTAGTAGCAGGAACAGCCAAGCCTCTACTGCACTGGTTCTCTGTGCCCCCAACAGAGAAGGCCGCTATCTGGCCGGCTGTCGGACAGATTAGGGTGTAGGGTACTCCACACTTGATGGCGGGGATACCGGTTCAGGGTCTGTTACAACCGGCCTGGATGGGGAGAGTTGGAATCGAGGTGGTGGACACGTGGGTGGCTTAGGATAACTTTAAGGGCAGGGATGACTGGTGGATTGCAGGAGGGGCTTCAAAAAGTTTGTGGGAAGAGGATTAAAAGGTGGGTCAGATTTTCCCGTAGCCTCTTGAAACCCCTTTGAGTGCACAGTAATGAATGAGGCATCACTGGTGAGAGAGAGAGTGGTCAACCGGGGGCTTCACTGCAGGACTGACTTGTCACCCTGCACTGCCCCAGCGGCCTGGGCTGGGTCTGTGTTTCTGTGTTGGTGCACCAGGAGAGGGTGGGGGCAGCTTCCTCAGGGCCACCAGCTGACACCAGCCACAGTGCCACAGATGTTTCCCCAACTTTGGGAAACGAGGCTGCTTGGCAGACGTGGCACAGAAGGATTGTCTTGGCCCACCTGCACACCCACCTGTCCCCCTTGGCTCCCCTAAACCACCCAGTGACTTCCTGTGTGAGCACCGACATCCTGCTCCAAGCAGAGCAGAGCTGCCTGCAGGGATCCCGAGGCTGTGAGCCTTCGCAGGCCCACTTGCCCCCTCGACGCTCTTGGTGGGCACAAACCACTGGCCTTGGTTTGAGCAGCTGAGCGCTTCACTGCCTAGCCACCAGGCCTCCTGATGATTCCTCAATACAGATGGACAAGGAGGCTTCAAAGAGTTCGTAGAAACGGGATGGAAAGAATGAACCTGAACGTGCTGCTAGAATCCCCCGAGACAAACAGGCTGACAGAGTTTGACTCCCAGGGTTGCTCGGCACACAGTGGGACTGGGGTGGGGGCTGCGGGTCAGCACCCCCAGCCTTGACTGGTGCCAGATGAAGAGTGAAGGAGTGAACCTGTGGAGCTCTAGATGCCCGCTGAGGCTGCCGCTTCCTGCTGAGCGTGTTGCTGCCGTCCTGACAGCCCTGGGTTGGGAGACTGCCCTCGCTGAGCTTTGCTCTAAAACCGGATCTCTTTGAAATCAAGGCTGGGGGGCATCCAGGAGTCTGCGTGGTGCACTCCTCTATGTGAGCCCCACTGCTGTGGTTGCCGGGATCCCCCATGGAGCGGGGGCGGGGCTTCCTCTTGAGGGAGATGCTCTCCTGGGGTAGTGGTGACGTCAGGGCCGTGGTGGGGCTCTGGGGTGCTGAAGGCCGGCGGCCAGTTCTCTGAAAGGAGAAGCTGGCTCTGACCGCAAGGCAGAGGCTGCCGTGGGCTGTGCTCCAACTGGGCACTGACTGGTCATCTGGTGCCCTTAGCAGCAGCCCTGCTGGCTCACCCCAGGACAAGGCCCGTTGACCATCGCTCTCACCTGGCGACATGGTGAACCCTCTGCTTTCTCAGCCCTGCTGGTGTTGGGAGCTGTGTCCCCAGCTGTAGCCCCCGGCACACAGGCAGTTCACCCCCCTAAAGACATGCGGTTGTGGAAACCCCACAGGGCAGTGCTGCTCCCTCCAGGGTCAGTGAGTGAGCTTGTTTCTGTGGACATGTCTGTTTAAGAAATGCCTCTGCCCCCGTCACTGTCTGGACCTCTGAATGGTGCCCTTGGTGGCACAGGCTTGATTTCCTGGCACCTCGTGAAGGTGCTACTTTGAAAGCCACTCGGAGCGAGGCTGAGGCAGCTGCGGTTGGTGCCGGCAGCATCCCAGGGTGTGTGCTGGGACACAGGCCGTGTTGGGCCACGCTCATCCTTCCTGGGTGGGCTGAGGGATGAAAGGAGACAGCAAACGCCTTGTTCTTGGTAGATTCTGACTCACAGCAACCCTGCAGGACAGAGCAGCACTGCCCTGGGGGTTTCCGAGACGGCCATCTTTGTAGGGAAGGACAGGCCCTCGGTGGTGGTTTGAACCACAAACCACGGTGCTTTGAACCACGCAGAGGAACGAGTTGCCCCTGTGCTAGCAGAGCTCCTTGTAATAGAAAAAGCCAACGCATCCCCCTGCCGCCACCCTGACCCCGACTTACAGAGACCCTGGCAGAGCTGCCCCAGGGCTTCCTAGGCTCCTCCAGAGCTTTACGGAATCCCCCTGGTGGGTTCCAACCACCACCTTTCCTCGGCAGGTGAGTGCTTACCCCTTGCACCACCAGGGCTGTGGGAGAAAAGTGTGTGCGTCACTGCTGTGATTTGAAGGACTGTTTCTGACTCTGGCAGCCTGTGGGTTCCATGCACACGGAATCCTTTGTGCCCTGCTTGGCTTCCGGGGTGTCTTGTGACAGCCACAAGGGAGCGTGTTTATTCTCGGAGCTGGGGTGAGGCAACTGCTCAGACGGTGATGCAACACAGCCGGGGTCCAGCTGTGCCGAGGGCGGGTGTGCCAGCTGGGCCTGGGTGCCGGGCCTCTGCTCTGGGCGGGATGTGCAGCAAGTGTAACCGGCAAAGGGGTGATGCTTTCCCGTGCCTGCCTTCTCTGCACAGCAGCTGGGGGTGTCCCACCACTGGCTTACAGTGAGTGGCCAAGTATATTCAGGCGTAGCCCCACGCTGAGACCATTGTGCCTGCAGAGGCCCTTGTGGCTCATGACAGGGGTTCCGAGGTCACTGGCTCCTGAGCTCGTGGATCTGTTGCTTCCCGTGTCGGGGACGTGCTCCTGGAAGCCTGTCCCTGCCCGTCCATTTCACTTCGCTTCGGAGGACGGCCAGCTGCGGGCACCCGAGGTGGGGGCCATGGGAGCGTGCCTGTCCCACACAGCCCTCTGCTAGAAGGCCCCGGCCTGCTCAGGTCCAGTCAGGGTCCTCTCCTGTGCTGGTGGGGGAGGGGCATGACCTGTCTTCTCAGCCTGCCCAGACAGAGCTGTCACGCAGTAGTCACCATGCGTAGTCAGGTTAGATGGTGGGGAGCACGCTGTGTTGACTGTATTACCGTCGTAGGATCGTAGGGATGGTGTACAATCCATCACCAAGTATTCAATGTGTCCACTCTTTTTTATCTTACATTTTCTCATACAAGGGGTCTTCTAGGTTGCTGGTAGAAATCTGTTCTCGTTCAATTCCATTTTCCCTGCCTGTTTGAAGCCCCTCCTTTACACCGTATGCCTTTGCGCTGCTCTGTAGAGCAGATCAGATGCGAATGAGTCAGCCTCCCCTGGTGGCAGCGAGCGAGCCACAGGCCTGCCTTTGTTGGCCAGCAGAGGCGATCACCTGTGGGTCGGAGGGCAGAGTGAGCACACAGGGGTCTCTTTCATGAGGGAGCAGGTCTAAAGATTGTACGCCTGTGTCTGGCCCCCCTCTGGCTCAAGAGTGCGTGGAGCGTCACTGTACAAACATTTCTTGCCTGCCATGGGTGCACAGCCGTGACCGTCCAGCGATGAGCGGGCTCTCCACATCCCACCCCAGTTGCACTGCGAGCCAGCACCTGTCCCCACTCCGGTGCCTTGTGGAGGGCATCAGGCACCTTAGCACTCCGGCGCCCTGGAGGACAGGGGAGGAGGGCCACAGATTTCCGAGCGGTCTGTCATCGATGGACGCCGGCGGCCACATCTTTCTTCTCGGAGCTGCTTGCTGGTGGGTTTGAACCACCGACCTCTCAGTGCACAGCCCCTGGCAGCTCTCGCCTTGTCCGGCGTGTTCCTGGCTCCAGTGGTAGATTTTCTTGTCTACAGATGGCTCCTGGTCTGCGCTCAGCCTGGCATTTCTCTTCGATTCAGGGGCCCAAACACAGGTGTGGCGCCACCTTTTTGACCTGCGCCCTTCCCTGTGGTCACAGCACGTTTCCCGGGTGCCTCGTCAGACGGCTGCACAGGCAGTGTTTGTAAACCTACCTGAGAATGGAGACCACCTGGGACTTGAATGCTTGCCTGAAATGCAGATTCCAGGGCCTGCCTCAGAGATGGGATGTGCTGTGATTCATAGCTTCGAACTGCTCGGTCCAGTTTGACTCCCCGCTGAGGCTTGCTGTCCACCCAGACAAACGGACTCATCGTCTCCATCTGAGCGAGACCTTCACATGAGCCATGCATCCACCAAGATAGGAGCTGAGGAAAGTTGATGGAAAGTCTCTGGTCCCTCGTACTCCCTGGCTCTAATTACGCACCATCAGCAGGGGCACTGCCGGGTCTAAGAGGCCGGAGGGAGGCCCCACTCGGCTGTGGTCTATTTCTGAAGGGCTGTGAAGAGGCAGTGACTCCTGACGTGGTCTGGGGGCCTCGCCCCTGAAGAGGCCTGTTTTCAGGTCCGTCTTCTCCCCCTGTCCCTGTAGGTCAAAGACCGAGGCCCGGAGGCCACGAGGCGGTTCTTCAACTGGTTTTACTGGAGCATCAACCTGGGGGCCATCGTGTCTCTGGGCGGCATCGCCTACATCCAGCAGAATGTGAGCTTCGTCGTGGGCTATGCCATCCCCACCGTGTGCATCGGCGTGGCCTTCGTGGTCTTCCTCTGTGGCCAGAGCTGCTTCGTCACCAAGCCTCCTGACGGCAGTGCCTTCACGGATGTGTTCAGGATCCTGGCGTACTCGTGCCGCCCCCAGAAGCACGCGGGGAAGCGCAGGGCCAGTGGGTACGTACGGGCCTGGGCCCCTGGCTCAGCAGGGAAGGGTGGGCAGGGGCTGGTGAAGGAGTTCCGGGGCTGGCTCCTCTCTTCTTGCCGAGCAGTTGACAGGCGCCAGAGGCCCCATAGAGCTGCCACAACAGCTTTGCTGGCACTTTCAGAGAGTGACTCTCGTGTGGGGGGAGGCAGCTGCTGCCTGCTGCTGAGCTGGCCAGAGGGAGCCACCTCAGTCCTGGGTGGAGGGATGGCTGCTCACCCTCCAGGAGGTCGTGAAAGCCCAGCACATAGTCTGAGACCTCAGGAAAATGTCCGACATTATTCCAGAGACACTCCCCACTCGGCTCTCCCCTCAGTCAAGTCCGGGAATGCCCCCTGCCTCCACACTCCTGGCCCCTTGGCAGGGCTGCTGCGCCCAGGTGGGCGCTAGCTGAGCAGCCGTGACTGCTCCACATGGGTAGGCAGCACCCCTGCTGGCATGGCAACTGCTGCCTGGGCCCCCAGACAGACCGTGGCTGGCTGGCAGCTCTTCCTGTGGGTTGACAGGCCTGCTTCCTCATAGCCAGGAAAAAGAAGTCGGGTTTCTCTCGCGGGTTAACAAGGACCCTGGTGAGACACATGGGGAGAGGCTGCCTGCAGGGACCCTGGCCGGCACTGTGGGGTTCTGGTTGGATGCTAGCTGCAAGGGGGGGCGGTCCGAACTCACCAGCCATTCCACAGGGGAGAGAGGAGGCTGTCTGTTGGCTCCCTAAAGATTGACTGTGTCGGAAGCCCCGAGTCACGGGAGTTGGCTCTCAGACTCTTGTGTGTCCACCCTGGAGGTCCACCTACCTCAGCCCTGGAGAAAGCCTTGGCTCCCTGCTGGTTTACAGCTGACTTCCCCTCTCAGGTTAGGCCCATCCCTCACTGCAGCTCTGTGTTCCCCTCATTCTCGCACCTGCCCCCTGTTGATCGTTGTCCTCCAGTGGGCTGTGGTATTTGGCAGCTCTCTGAGCAGCCCAGAACAAGTGAGGCTCGCTGCCAGGGCGGTGGGCACTGGCCACTGCTGGCTCCAAGGTTTCTGGCCCAGTCGACCCCTCCATCAGAGGCGGACACTAGACAATTGGCACTCACTGCACAAGCAGCTCCCTTCCAGTTTGGTGGGTGTTTGAGCCACCCCAGGAAGCAGTAGGCTGTGGAAAGCTGATGGCCTACAGAAAATCCCTTCCCTAGGGATTGGGAGCCAGGGCAGCCTTAGGGGCTCACTGTGCCTCTGGCAGGGTCATGGTGAGGCCCTGGGAGGGTGTTGTGCTAGGAGGGGTACAGGGGATGCTGACTGCGCAGGGAGGGTTCTGAAGGCTGTGGGCTGCCCAGCTGGGCCGGGTGCCCAGGCCCCGTGAGCGTGTGTGCGTGCTGGTGGCACTGCTCCCCTCGGCTCTGGGCTTGCGAGAGGACACAGGGCCACCATCATCTCCCTGCCTGTTCCTCCAAGCCTCTCAGGAGACACCAGAGAGCCCCGCAGGAGCTTGCTGGGGAGCAGCAGTCCTAGGGGACCATGTAGAACACACACACACACACACACACACACACACACACACGCAGACACACGGCTGCCTTAAGGCCTTCACAGCAAACAGCACAACAAGACCCCGGAGGGGCTGGTGGGTTCAAA